CCCCAAAACCCCAAAACCCCAAAACCCCAAAAGAGATGAATTAGATATTGAAAGGATAAGTAATAATCTATTTAAATTAAATTTAGAGTTAAATATTGTATGGGCTGTACTACTTCATCAACAACAGGTTCAAAACTTCCTTCTATTAAAGAAATTGGAAAAGGTAGATAGAATACAAAAGCCCCAATTTAGTAGCCATAGCCTTAAGTTGAGATATAAGTGGCTCCTACATAGGTCGAAGTCAGGGAAACATTAGAATCAATTAATCTTCAAATAATCAATGTAACTAATGCGATAGACAAAATAGACTTACGACTCAGAATACTAAGTGATGAAAAAGATTCATTAGAATTTGATTTATAATATGGAATAGATAATGTAAGATATTTTCATCTCAGCTCAGCAATTTTTATAGGAACTTGATGAGTATTCAATTAATAATGTTGCTAAAGACATTATTGGAGTCAAAACTGAACTTTAGGAAAATTAAATATAAATGAATAATCTAAAATAAACTCTCCAGGAGCTTAAAACAAAATAGTTCCGCATCTAGAAAGGAGAAATAGTTATGTAAGCCTAATAGGTAGCAGGCAGAGATAACTATTATGACAATAGTAATGTAATGGCTAATATGGCAGTTCAAGTTTAGAATGAGGAAAGAAAATAAGCAGAGGGTAGGTAAATAGTTAATTCAATTCAAAATGATCAGAATTAAGAAGCATATGACTTGATTGCTTAGATGAGAGCAAAAAAATAAGATTAATAGATTAATACCAACAACAAGACCTTGAACAATCACCAAATGAACTAAGGCCCTCCTAATGATTAAAAAATTTGATACTATCCTGATTTAAATCCTCAAGTTTTCCATCCAGATTCAAAACCTGAATACTGGTAATAATGCTGTTGCAGCCCATAACAATGGGAATTAGAATTAAATAAATATTATTATCTGAGTTTATCATCAGTGATATTTATTTATCTCAAAACGATCATTAAATCATAGCAGATGGGGTTTTGGGGTTTTGGGGTTTTGGGGTTTTGAATCTG